TTCCCTCATGCTGGCTCAGGAATTCTGGGAGTTGAAGTCCACCAGTCATGAAGGGGCCAAAGTTTCCCCCATGCTGGCTCAGGAATTCTGGGAGTTGAAGTCCACAAGTCATGAAGGGGCTAAAGTTTCCCTCATGCTGGCTCAGGAATTCTGGGAGTTGAAGTCCACAAGTCATGAAGGGGCCAAAGTTTTCCCCACGCTGGCTCAGGAATTCTGGGAGTTGAAGTCCACGAGTCATAAAAGAGCCAAGGTTGCCTACCCCTGGCCTAGGCCAATATTTTCCAAGCCCGGATGGTCATTAAATGAATTTTGCCCCATTTTGGCCGCCTTTTCCACCACGGTTGTTAAGGGAATCGCTGCCACGGTCATTAAGCGAATCTGCCTTTGCCCATGGACTGGAACCGGTTGACAAAGCAAAGTCGATTGGGGGGGGGAATCTGGATTCGTTTAATGACCTCGTGATTCACTCCAGAACGGTGATTCGTTTAACATCCGTAGCAGAAGGCCAAAAAGCAAAATCCGGTGTGACTCGCTTATCAACTGCTGGAAATTCCACTCTCCGCCGTGGTCGTAAATCGAGGACTCCCTATAATTCAGGCATGCCTTTTGAAATAATTTCTAGGCCGTTCAGCCAAAGCCGTTTTCCTTTGGAGGCTGCAAAAAGCTAATTCTTTTTAAAAAGAAGAAGAAAGGAAACTAAAAAGCAGTTTGAGCTGGCTTTAAATATTTGCAGAGAAGAGCAAAGAAAATGGGGAAAGCTCCATTTTCAGCAGTTTTGAAGCAGGCTGGGAGATCAAAGCCAGATTTACTTAACAACCGTGTGTCTAATTTAACAACGCTCTTCCGTCTCACCTGCCTTCGGGCCAGGGGTGCCAGCGGTCGATGTATTTCTTTAAGGTCAGGGCGATCTTCTCCTGGGTCCGGTCGATCTCCTCCCGTTGGGTCACCTCTATGTGATCTACGAAGAGAAAGGTTTATGGGTGAGGAAGAGGAGGAGGGGGAGGAAGGCTGGGGTGGTCCCCGATGAAGCGAAACGGGACAAAGGAAAGGGGGAGCTGAAGCCATCCTAGGCTTGTTGGGGATTCAGCTTCAGAACGCGAAGCTTTGGAAGGGGGCCTTAAGAGGTCACCTAGTCCAACCCCTTGGCTCGGGCAGGATTCAATGTATTGGAAACCAAAAAGGCAGGATATGACCTTAGAGGTCATTTAGTCCAACAACACACACACACACACACACACACACACACACGGACCAGGGCCGGAATTCAACATATAGGATCCTAGAACGAATAGGCCGGAAGGGACCCCAGAGGTCATCTAATCCAACCACCTTCGCCAGGGCAAGAAACCATTGTATAGAATTCTAGAACGGAAAAGCTGGAAGTGACCTTAGAGGTCATCTAGTCCAACCCTGTGACCAGGGCAGGAAGTCATTGTGTATAGTCCTAGAACAGAAAAGGACCTCTTGAG